GCAGCAAGCATGTGGTTATGTGTATTCTTAGCTAATTTGGCCCATAATCACTGGAAATATTAGTCAGTCAGATTATGTCATATGCCAAGCTTCATGTGACCAGATAATAAATAATCTGGAAGATTGCTCAGTGAGACAGCCCCTGCTTACGTATGTGTGCTGGAAACTACCTCAGCTCAAACCACAACTTGGAATATTTCCTGCTTCTGGAAAGGCTGGATTGAGGTCAGAGACAGCTGTTTGGGAGCCACTTCACTGCAGTCTGCTGAATAAAATACTAGATTCTAGATAAAGCCTCTGTGTAGCTGCTGACAGCACTTGTCTATATGTAGACAAGTGCTCTACTCTATGCCATTTCCATGGTGAGCTCATTTATTTATATCTCTTTGGGCATGACCAGCACACTGGGTCACCAAGAGAGCAGCGTGGGACACACTGGGAAAGGTTAAAGCAAAACAGTGCCCAATTTTTAATTCTGGCTTTGAAAACTGACAATAAGAAAGAGCCAATCTGATCTATAAGTCAAATTCACAAAACACAGAGATCGGCTAGAACAGGTGTTTTTCTAATTAACTTTCTGTGGAATGTTGCTGGTTGCTTTCGTTACAGCATGGTCCCAAAACAAGGACAGGGTGCAAAAGCAATAATGATGAACTATTTGTGAATGATGAATTTGGAAATTACCTGGCTTTCCCTTTAGCTGGTTAGCTGTTTTGCAGCCAGATCCTCAGCTTCAATAAACTGATGTCACCCTTTTGAAAAAACTTACCCTGGCTGAAGATGGGGCAGTGGTTAATGAGCAACTGGAGTGGCAGAATTTCTCAATTTCTGCCATTATGGAAAATGACTGTTACAAAGTAGGTGACTCAGCAGTGCTGAGGTACTGACATGTCACAAAGAGAAAAAAGTATTCAGAGGGAAATGTTAAATGAAAGATTACTTATTTGCTGAAATTCTATTATTCAAATTCTTACTGATAATCTGCTGACCTCTGACCCCTACAATAATTCTTTAGTATGAGAACTGTGTGATGCAATTACATACAGATCACCAGATCTGGCATGATTCCTTGACTTATAAATGTGAAAGAAGTATGAAAGTGGATAACTATCTGATTAGCTTGCACTCACAAAAGGCAATATTAAGTTCCCTTAATATCTTCCATTTAGTGCTCTTCCTTCAGTCATAGCATAAAATACTAATATGGTATTTTAAATCTTAAAAAGAAATGTGATGCTTTGTGCACTGGTGTCTGAAGGAAGAATAGAACTGGTAAGGATGACCCAGAAGGTCCTTTAATTTTTGAATTCCTGTAAATGAAGAGTTGCCTCAAATGGAAAAGTAAAAGTTTTCTGGCTGTGAAAGTACAGGAAAACCAGGATTTGACATTTTTAAATCATCCCTTTCTGAATGAAAAGTGTAATGACTCCAACCCACAGCTGTAAAATATGCATTTATTCACAACATTTAAAAAAAAGTAGTCTTGAACATGATAGTCACTTATCGGAAAGTTGACTACACTTTAAATAGGGTGTTAGACTACAAGTGAAGAAGTTGTAGGGAAAAACTGGCTTGACCCTCAGACTGTAGAAGATACATACCAAATAAGAGCAGAAATCTGTCTTGCTTTAAAGAAACTAAGGGTGGTCTCTTACTCTGCTTTGCCTTTGCATATTTGTAAAGTGCTGAAATAGAGGAAAGAAAGGGTTATTACACTTTCAGACATAATTCAAAAGAATGAAAGGAGAGTAAGACTAATAATTACAGTGAAATATTCCAGGGTGTTTTATTCAGTTAGCACAAAGGGTAATAAGAGCAGATGCTTTCCCAGTCCTTACAATTCCTTAGCTTGTATTGATGTACAGTGAAAAGAACAAAAGATAATTAATTGTCTACAAAGAGGACACTCTTAGTAGTAAGCTGGTGTCTCAGCATCCATCTTCTCATTGATCAATATTAGAAACTATAACTTCACTGGTTGTTTTATGAGGTCTTTAAAAAAGGACACAAAATTATCAAGATCATTAAAAAATGTATTTCATTCTTTTGTGACTACAGCCTCATTATTCTGCCCGGGGAAGGACACTGCAATTCTTCCACATCACAGCCCATTCTGAGGGGTTTGTGTTATTTTTCAGCTCGAGACCTGTGGTAGTTTGTCTCAATTGGAAGGAAGGGTCCTTCTCAACGCCAGCTCAGATGCAGGCAGGCACAGCAGTGTCCTGCTGATGGGCTCTGCCTCGCTCAGGGATGGACAGAGCTTTGGAGGTGGGGAGTGGGGTGTGGTGCTGCTCATCAATCCCAGGGTGGAAAATAGGAAAGGTATAAAACTCTCAGAAAGCTGTGTGAAAGCAAATCTCAGGATGGAGAAATGCAAGAATGCTGAAGATGCAAGGACAGGAAACAATAGGGCTACAAGCTGTGTCAAGATAGGCCTCAAGAAAATGTGTTAAGCAAGATAGTAGAAATATGTAAGCTTAATAATGAAGCTTTAGCCGTTGTTTTAAGCTATTACAAGCAAACATTGTTCAAAGCAAGAGGTACATGTAAGTGTACTAATTGGCTAGAACAAATGCTTGTCAGCTTTTAATATTTTGCTATTGGCTAGAAAGTTGTTAAAAGACTTTGTAACAAAGAGAACTTCATCTGCTGTTGTAAGCAGCTGAAGCTGTTTCCATCTCCCTTGCTTGGTTCTGCAAAATGAGGCTGATAAGTGTGATGGAATAAAGGCTTTGAGACAGCTGTTCCAGCATTCCATCCTGTTGTTTGTGTACATAGATATATGTAAATATAAATATATAAGAGAAAAAAATATCCCAGGAACCCAACAGGTAGTTCCACAGGTAGGCCTAAAACATGAGCTTGGATTAATTTTTTAAATAGCTCAAGTTAGGTCATATGAATCCCATTGCTGCCATAGCAGGATTTGGAGGGGCATAGCCCTGATTGTCTCAGGATGAAAAAAGGCAGAGGGATGTAAAGGTAACAAGGGCTGGACTAGGCATTTTGAACAGATTGAGAGCAGCTCTGCCCTGAAGTCAAAACATACTCGGGAGAGCTGGAGATGGAGCCCTGGGCTCGGTTTTGAGCAAGCACTGCTCTGAAAGCATGCTAAGCTTCACAGTTTTTCAGCTTTCTTTGCCTAAATCGGTTGATCAGCTCTCCAGAGCATGGGTTGGCCCGAGCTGCTCCATCCCAGAACCTGTCACAGTGGGATGCTGATCCGTAGGGATGCAGGCCCTGCAGCAGTGTGGCTGATACTGCATTTAGAAAGCCAGCTCATTCTCCATCAGACTGGAAAAGACCATCCTTCAGCTGGCAGTGGATACCTGCACATCTGCCCTGTGCTAGGACACATGGCAGATTTTGGTCTGCAGGCTTGTATGCTGAGTGTTGCCAGCTAACAGTGCTTATATCCATATCTGGTGGATTCTGGGCTCCAGGCCTCACAGGTGTAAGATTACAAAGTGTGAGAAAGCAATTTCAGACATTTTTAGAGGTTTCAAGAGCATAACCCCCCAGCTCCAGTATCCAAGTCCACAGAGGTTGCACACATGACAAGATAAATACATGGAGACTATGGGAGATGTGCTGCTCTGCTGGGTGCTGCATGGAATGGCTTAAGTGCAATAAACAGAGATAAAATATTTTCTTTCCTTTTTGAACTACGAAAGATAAAGCGGCTTCTTCTATTATTTCCTGTAGCTAGGAAGAAAAGGGTCTCCAAGGGCAGTGTCTCTTGCCTGGCCTAGCACTTTTCAGCATAGTTTGGGGCAACACAGGTGTTGGGGACAGGGAAAGGGTAATCCTTATTTTCAAGGAGCCGAGGCATTGATTTGGGTGGAGTTAGCAGCCATTTAAGAGACAAGTCAGCGTTTAAGTGGAATTTAATTTACAGTAGTTTCTGTAAAGGCCCAATAAAACCTTCTGTAAATGTAGAAAATAAAGTGTTCTCATCTAAATCCAAGTAAAAAAACTTAGAAAAGAATCTGTACTTTACTATCTTTTAGCACAGGTGTCATTTTACATCTTTAGATCACCAAAATCTGTATTGAGCTCTCTGCCTGTTCATATTACTGGAAGCAAGTTGGGTTACTCATAAGTACTAATAGCACATATACTGTATATTTGTGTGGGGTGTCAAATTACATAAAAGTAAACTTTTATTTCTGTACTGATTCGTTGCTTTAGAGTCAGCAATTTTATTTTGTTGCATCAGTATTTCTCCAAACTCAGTCTTTTCAACAGAACAACCTATATTAAGGTGCTAAATGATCTCTACTAGGAGAATTTCTTATGTTCTTCTCTATTCATTTGCATGGTTATTGTCACAATCCACTAATAAGTAGCTCAATATGCTATTTCCTTAAGAGTCCTACTGCCTTTCCTTGTAAACAAAAGGCAAATCCAAGTCCTTTGCTCTAGTAAATCCTAAATGTTTTTCTCAGATAATTTGTACGAAGTATATCAAGAAATCAATATACATAATAAAACAGAGCCTAAAAACCCTCCAAACTGCCCTTTAAAACTGTGACACCTGAATTATTTCAGAGCACACAGAAGCAAACTCATTTCAGGCAGAAAGGACAGAACCTACCACTTTTGCTACTGCCCTCTCCAGAGAACCCTTTCATGTCTCTAGGATATGGACCTCAGCGTGCTTGAACCTAACTGTAAAGATAAACCCTTCAAGTTTTCCCACTGGTTTGATCTAGGGAGTAATTATTGCATCAAGCAGGGCCAGCAGCTTTCCCTCTTGACCCTTGGGATTTTACCCTCCCATCGACCAAGTAGAGGTGGTCCAGGTGATGTATAAGTCAAATTTGGACAATCCTTAATAACTTACCAGCCTGTGAAAACAAATTTGCTGATTTTTTTCATTTTAGCCTGAAGGACTTGCAGACAAATTTAAGCATCTCTTCATTAGAGGAGTGGAGAAGGGATCCCAAAGTGAAGAAGAAAGAAAAATTTATCTGCATGCATTTTGCTTTCTTTTCCAGGTACCTCCAGCATCTACCATTCTTGATGTGAAACACAAATTTCACAAAGCATGTAAGTACCATGGTTACCAGGCTGGAGACATGGTTAGAGGCCTTTCACTTAGAGAAATTGTCAAATTTATTTTTCATGAATCTCACAAAAAAAGCTGAGACTGGCCTGACAGCTCCAGTGCTCAGTAAGAATAGTGTTTGAACTAAGGTTCTATTGTAGCTGTTGCAGATAGGAGAGACTGGAAGGAGAGAACTGCATAATTTATCACTGCCAGCCCATGAGGGGCAGTAGTTTTTCTCTTGTTTTTAACATCACATGGTGTCATTTCAAAACCAGTACTGCATTTCTTCTCCCAGTGTTATATTGGATAAACTTCAATAACAATAGACTGTTTCAAGCTGTCCATAAACTGACCATGTGGACCAGAAAGATGCTGTAGTGGGGAACTTGAGCTCAGAATGATTAAATAGCATCTGGATTTAGGTTAGATATATGGAAGAAATTCTTTATGGTGAGGATGGCAGAGAATTGGCACAGGCTACCCAAAGAAGCTGTGGATGTTCTGTCCCTGGAAAGGTTCAAGGCCAGGTTGGATGGGGCACTGAGCAACCTGGTCTAGTGGGTGGCATCTTTGATACTGAGCTTTCATTATTTTTACAAAAAAGGGGTGTGTTAAACTAAAGGCTAGATGCCTTTGACAGGAAAAAAAAAGGGTTGTCAGCCACTAATATGTTTGAGCTCAGAGCAGGGTAAGTATAAAAAGCACTATGCTTCTCCTGTGTCCTTATAATTTTATAAAACACTAAAGCTTAAGGCATCTGTGGTTGCACACAGGTTCAGCTGATGAAGCGAGAGGCTGTTAACCTGACTACTCTAAAGTTACTTATTTTCCCTCCCTGTAAGGGCTTGTAAAATACAAAATGGCAAAAGTTCAAAAGCCACACTGCTGAATGTGAAAAGATCGAGTGCAGAACTTTTAATATTTCAATAAGGGTATGTCCCTCCCATCAGTTTGTCAAATGCAGTGCACTTCTGCCTAGAATCTCTTTAATCAATTGAAACTGGATTTATATTGATGCAGTTTAAATCAGTTGGAGAACACTGGCACAGAGGTTTATGCCAATATAACTACAATGAGATTTTTAATGGATTTGGGCTAAAATGACATGAGATTGTGTATGAGCCATTTTAATGGCACCTGCTTTGATATTAAGAGGCATCTTACTCCTCAAGTACCCTCAGTGATGTAAGTGGAGCTGAGTATAAAGTAAGACAGTAAGCATACAACAAAGCACAGTACACAACATGAACCAAACCTGTCAGTGCAGTGTGTTACAGCACATAGAAGGGCTGGCAAGTGCCTTCAATGCTTTTTAAATTCTTGTTTTTTTATGTCAATTCATCCCATTCCCGGGAGTACACCATATCAGTGTCCTGTGTCCTTTCTTTTCAGTTCAGCTCATTGCTTTGATCTCTCTTTTCCAGTTCAGCCTGGATGTTGTTGTCTCATGAGGTTCCCCCCCTCCTCCTTTCCCAGTTGCAAAGACGAAACCTTCACTTTTTTCTCTTTGTATGGTTAGTGGGATGACAGCTAATAGCATACAGTTTTCTTAGGCAAGGGCTGAGAAGGGGCTGAAGCTGATCTGTGAATGCCTTTGGTTAGCATGCTATTTTGTACTAGCTCATGCATTCATTTCTGTCATTTTGTGTGTGCCAGACTCACATGTTCCCCTATAATCTCTCATTAAAACACACTCCTACGCACACCCCCTTACAGTCTCCCTGTCTTCATACATTCTCCTTTGATCACCCATGCAATTAAGCTTTCTCCTCAGCTGGTATCTTGTCAGCCCTTCAGTGAGAGGAACCCCTGTGCAGCAATTTCACAAGCATCATCTCTGTCACTGATCAGGTTTAGCTGCCTGATTCAAGAAAGGAGGAAAGAGACTGAATTATGAGTTGCAGCACAGGCTGTTAGTCATTAAAATAAAAGAAATGAGATGCAAGTGACATCTTACTGATAAGTAATTTCTAAGTTAGTAAAATATTAGTTTGGATGTGTATTTGTATAAAAGGCAGAATATGGATTTAGAAGTCCAGAAACAAATACTGAAATACTCCTCAGCCCTCACTTCAGCAAAACTGTCTCTACTGAAACAACCCCAGAAAGGCCAAACCGTGTGTTTTTTGTGCCACTGAGTTCAGGGAGGCAATCCCAGTTTTATCACTGGAGATTCAAGGATCTTAGTGGAGAATAACCATTTAAGACAAAGTGCTATTTTCATGGGAATTCAAGGGCTTTGTCCAGACTGAAGATGTTTTTAAATCATCCCTTGGCTGCTGTAGCCACTGCCCATGGGAGGGACAGGCAGCACCAACTGGGGTCAGCTCAGAACAGCAGAGTCCCTGCTGCAGCCCTCTCCAGCCATCATCTCTACAGGGGCTCTCTGTAACAGATGTTAGAGCTAGGCTGTCATGCTTAATAGCAAACATCACACCTGCCCACCATGGATCTGTCTAATCCTTTTTAAACCTACTTACAGTTTTGACCTCAGCAAAATCCTCTGGGAAGGAGTTCCACAAAATGAGCGTGTTGTGGACAAATGTCTACACTTCTATAGCTTGATATTTTCTGCCTGAAACTGAGTGGCAGCTGAGTGTCAGGGTATCACTGGCCATCATGCTGAGTTGTCTGAGGCGTGGGCAAAGAAGCCTCAATCAAAATAGTGCCATGCATTGGGAGACTTTACTAGAATTTTCCTCATTCCTTTAGCTAGCTGGTAGAGATGGAACCAAGCCAAAAACTGAGTGTATAAGAAAGAAGTCTCTGGACCCATTTTCTCAGTTGCTTATAATGAGTTAGCTACCTGGCATTTTCTTTATCTATACAGATTATGTTTTCAATGGAGAAAGAAATATCTTATAGGCTAAACTTCCTGAGCTCTTGTCCTTGGCAATAACTTTTCACCTTTAATTTATTTTTATCTTTGCAAAATGTATTGGACTGCTGGGGGAGGAAATCCTACAGATAGAAAATGAAAAACTGTAATAATAATGCTAATTCAAGTATCACATAACTAAAATAAAATACCTCTAGAACAGGTAATATAGTGCAGCCAGTGATCATTAAATATTTTCAAGGTTACTGCATGAAAGTTGCTGAAAAAGCTCTTGAAAGAAAAGGAAGAACTGAAAGGAAAGGGGGAAATATGATCACAGCAGTGCTATAACAGACTGATAGAAGCAACCTCCTGCTTAAGGGGGACAGCACAACTACAGTTACATTTTGAAGCCAGAAGAGTGAGAATAGGGAGGCCAGAAATTGCCCTCTAGGCAGAAGGAGCAGGCAGGAAAGAGAGGAAGTTTAGTGATGGGTGAAAGGAAAAAAGGGAAGTCCAAGAGACAAAATGTCAAAGGTATCCTGGTCTGCAGAGGGAAATGAAGTGCTCAAGGAATAAGGAACATTAAGTTAACAGAAGTTATATAGGGCATTTAAAATAAGCAATATCAATGAAAGAAAATAATTAAGACAGGAATTGTCAGTAGATGGCACTCAATAAACAGCATAATTTCTGAACAATATGAAACTTCAGAATCCTAGTATACTATCTTATAACTACTCCTTACAGGTATTTCTATAGTGATCCTTGGAGCCATGTTCCCTGGAATGCTGGAGAAATGTTTTCTGTTGCTTTTCTCTGGAGAGAGAACAAGGAAAAAGACAGTGCAATTCCTTGTTAGTGATGGGACTAATCTCTCTTTCAGCCTCCTCCTTACAGTAGGGCAGTGTTAGGAGTCATCTGCCAGGTTTTACCTACTGCTGTCATCCTGCGTGTGTCCCAGAAGCCACGGGAGATCCCATCACCCCCAAACTGCCTGCTCAGAGCACACCCCATCTCTGACTGCCTGCACAAAGGCACATCAGAGACCTCCGTGAAGTTCCTTCCACCACAGCATTTCACTAAGCCCGTCAAACACTCCCACTGACTTCCAGGTGCTTGAAAAAGAGGTTTATTGCCTAATGCAAGGAGATGCAGTCTCAGAGGGCAAACATCAGCAGAAGTACCACATCACACATTTCTTTTCCCTGTGCATATTATCCCTCCTTCCCTTTTCAAAATGACCTGTTACTGCCTTCAGCTCACTTGTACCCCCAGCTGCCCCCAGCTCAGGCAGTGCTCAGCAGCTGCAAGGAGAGCAGCATCTTAGAACCAACAGAACCCTGAACCCTGAAGCAGACCTTCAAAACACAGAACAGCAGAAGTCGAGCTGACAGGGTGAAGAGCAAGGAGGAGGATCTCTCATTGCTGAGAAGTCACAAGGCAGCCTTTGAGAACAGCTCAGAAGGCACCAGAAGTACTAACATTAATTCTTTAGTGGAGGGAGTCCTCTTTCTTTCCTCCATTTTAAAAAGGCTGCTAAGGGTTTTCTTGTCCTGAATGTTCAGCTTTTCTGGTTTTCATGACACCTGAGATCTAGTAGCAGGATTCCAACAGCAAGGGCATCAGAAATAACTGTGTTTTTGCCAGGCCTGTGCTGACACACATGAGTGGGATGCAGAGCTGTTGCTGGAAAGGACGACTGTACTGCATCACGTAATTCTCTTCTGGTGGCTGGCTGTGATGTTAAACTGCAAGGCTCAGAGAGGTGAGAAAGGATGCTGTGGGGATTAGTCATTAAGAGCAGTACCAGGGAGAGCAGTGACTGCTAAGCCAGTCCTTGCCTACCGGCTCTGTATAATCAGGACTGTCTGATAACACAGTCTTGCTGAGAACCTGCAGTTCCTCTGATTTCTCCACGCTGTCTATTACAGCTGGATTCTCAGGTTGCAGAAAGTTAATGAAATCTGTCAATTTTGATGCCTGGAGAGACTCATGTGCCTGATGAATACATCTGCTGGGGACTCAGAGAAGCTGAATTATGCTATTTATGGCTCAGCAAAGTTGACTTCATAGTCTTGGCCTGTCAATCAGCCATGTGTCTCACAAACCAAAGAGACCCAAATAAGTTATATCTAGGGCACAGAGCCTTCCAGAGGGATCTTTCTTCTGTCCTATATT